AAAATTTGAATCGATTCGGTTTGCTAGATTTTTAGAAATCTCGAAAACAAAATTTTCGAAAAATGGTTTTTTTTGGAATAACTTTTAAACGGCTTTACCGATCGATCCCAAAAACTAATCAGCTTTCAACCTTGAAAAACCACGTCGATTACCGTTGGACCGGTCAAAATCGGTTGATTCGTTCGTGAGATATCGAAAACGAAAAATTTCAAAAAAAATATTTTTTTTTTAAATTTCTTAAATGGCTTCACTGATCACTTCCAAAAACTAATAAGCTCTTAAACTTGAAAAGATACGTCGATCGCGGTTGGACTGGTTAAACCACGTCAATTGCCACCAGTCCCATCAAAATCGGTTGATTCGTTCGAGAGTTATCGAAAACGAAAAATTGCGAAAAAAAGTGTTTTTTTCACATAACGTCAAAATTTGTTTTTGGATCATTTTTGACGAAATAGATTAATTATAAGAGCCCAAAAAATCACTTCGATCGTTAACAAGAACGTGAAAATTGGTTGATTGGTTCGTGAGTAATCGTTGTCGAAAAAATTCGGAAAAAGTAAATTTTTCAAATTTTTCTAAGATTTTCGGTTCGATCAGTTTGTGTTCAAAAGTATATCATAGATTCTGACAAAGTGCGTGGAATACTGCCAACCACGTGAAAATCGATTCATTCATTTAGAAATTATTGCAGTTTAAAAATTCAAAAAATACTGTTTTATTAAACTTCTATCAGCCTTTTGAGCTCGAGGAGCTCAAAAGCATATAAAAGCTATTTCTTTGAGCTCGGAGAGCTCGAAATAACACACAAATTGTATTTTTGAGCTCGAAGAGCTCAGAAACGTCATAAGTGCAATCTCAAGCGTTTAGGTATGGAATTGGCGGGAAGTTGCAGGGATGGCCTTTAGGGTCAACCATTTTCCAGATTTTTTTTTGTAGTTTTTTTGAGATTTCTCAAAATCTACTGGTCCAAATCGGTCCAAATCGTATTCAAAATCTAAGTTTGGTCAGGCCCTTTCGAATGGCGCTCACCGCGATAAAATCGGTCAAGCCGTGCAAAAGTTATGAGAGGTTTGCATACATCCACACACACACACACACACACACACACACACACACTCGGGGCAGAAGAGATACTGCTACCGGGCGCGTCTCCCCGAGCGGATGGGAGAACGCTCGCTGTCCTTGGATGACACTTGGATAATCTCCTAGTTGATGGGGCACAGCGGGTAGGAGTCAAGCAAAATAACCAAACAAAATACGCTCCCGTGGACAAAACTCCCCTTTAATGGGTTGGTCACACTAACTGACCTAACAAGACGAGGGTAGCGTTGTTCGCGTCCGTAGGTACTGCTTTAACACCCTACGTGCTCTCCGGGTAGAGCTAAATGAACAACACCAACAACAATATGGAAATGTCAGAAAACATTAAAACATTGTCTACAGTACAGAGGAGGGATACCTCAGTGCCGGCGAGGGAAGACGTGCAAACGGGCCTGAACTCGTCGTTATCAAGCGACCGTTACATCAGCAGGGTGGACCATGGGGTCCATGGCCCTGCTGTCTGGAAATGCTACAGGGAGTACGAGAGCAATTAACAAGAGTATTGATGGGCCTCATGCCCAAGAAGCAGCGATAACAGCAAGCGCTGAAATGAAGAGAACAAAAGCACTGGAACGCCTTGAAAAGCTGACCATTGACTTGCAGAATTTCGTCCTATCCAAGGTCGATATTCACACGGAGATCAAGACGAAGACGACCAGCGTAGTCAACGCCCTGCAAAGAATTAAAACACTGGATGAGGATTGGCAGGCAACACGACGACTAACGCCTCGCATCACGCCAGAAAAAAGCAGTCAAGCTGTTATTGAGACTGAGGAATCAATGGACACCGGTGCCGATGGTGACGGCAAATCTATTGCTGATGACAAGAGTGAAGGTGTTCCAAAGTCTAATAAGAGGAAGGACCGAAACTCACCAGATCCAACAGAAAGGCGAGTGGCAAAGAAGAAAGACCTGAAGCCAAGTCCTCTGAAAGACGCGACGAAGCAGAACGCCGAAAAAAAAGACGCAGCTGCCTGGCAAGACGTCCAATCAAG